GATTAGAGATAGAGCAAGGCACATGCACGGCTTTCTTGGACTCTAGTCTTTGGCCTGGCCTCAGTTGCCCTGTGCTCTGGTGCTTGAGCTAACTGGGTGCAGACCGGAAGGGCAGTGTCACAAACCAGGCAGTAAAAGGGTCTCTTCCTCTTTCTGACAAGGTCCTGAGTCATTTCTTGTGGGCACACGAGCCATCTTGTCCTTCAGACTTCTCAGGAGCCAAAGGGGCTGGTGTTCAATAGGCCCCAAAGGCAGAGAGAGATCCTGGGTAGCAGATGTTACTTCAGTCACAGAGAACACGAGAGCAAGCAATCACGTAGGTGCTGAGTTCTTTTCTGTGCTTAGAACAAGTTCCTGTGGCTCCCCTTTGCCCTCAGGATAAAGACCAAGCTCCTCTTTTTTTTTTTTTTTTTTGAGACAGAGTCTCACTCGGTTGCCCTGTTTAGAGTGCCGTGGCACCATAGCTCACTACAACCTCAAAATCCTCCTGAGCTCAAGTATTACACCCTTCTTGGCCTCCCAGAGAGCTAGGATTACAGGCATCAGCCACTGTGCCCGGCCAAGACTAAGTCCCTTAATATGGCAAAGCCTTCAGGACTTGGTTCATCTACTCTTCCAACTTCATCTTTTGCCATTCCCTACCTTGAATCTAGTGCTACTCTATTTATTGTTACTTGAAATAACCACATGCTCTCTCTTAGCTAGGGGCCTTTGTATATGCTGTTCCTTCTGCCTTGAATGCTGTTCCTCATATGGTACCACAGACACTTCTCCCCTTTCAGCTGTCGGTGGGTCCTTTAAGACTTAATTCAGCCATCACTTCCTCCAGGAAGTCTTCTTGAAGTCCTTGGCTGGTTTAGGGACCTTCTATAAATGCCTATAGCCATGGGCTCCTTAAAGAGGACTCATTTAGCCCAGATGCTGGCAGAAAACCATTGCTAATCAATGTGCAAAGAACAAATGCACATGTCTGAGGAGAGAAAAATCATGTGGCAGGAGAGCTGTAAAGGAGACTAGAATGTTCTAACATTTCCAAGTTTCAAGATTCAATATTCTCTAATTCTCAGTTGAAGATTCAGACTCAGGAGATTCAGACTAGGGCTCCCCTCCATCTGGAGCCCACTCCCCCCAGCTAGCCACCTCCCCCTGCCCTGTAACCTCTGTTTGTTCTCAGGCAGGCACACTCACATGTTCGGAACATAACCAGGAAAGCAATTTACAAGAAATAATTGCCGGTCGATGTGTGCTTGGGAGCAGCGGTGAGCTCAGACTTTCTGTTTGTGCGTCAGCCCACCCGGCTTCCTCCCTCCCTGGCTGCCCTGGGGGAGGGCTCCTGTCGCTCAGGGTGGGCAGTTTGTTTCAAATGCAGGACTCAGACTAGCCAACCCCAGTGAGAGCCGGCTCTGAGGAGTGGTTGAATTCAAAGGAGAGAAGCTGAACGTGGGGGGCAGGGAGGAGCTTTATGAGCCCTGGGATTCGCAGGTCAGCAAAAACAACACACACAGTTCTATTCTCCACCTGTTGGGGAAATTCTACCAGGTCTTCAGGGCGCTGCTCAGTGTGAGGTCTCGCTACCCTATCTACTCTGGGTCCTCAAAGCCTGTCTTTGTTCTGCAGGGCCAGTTATGCTCAAAGGGTGGTCCCAGACCAGGCCTCAGCATCACCTGGAACTTATTAGAAATGCAAATTCTGGGGAGTGACTCCTGACCTACCAAATCAGACCTGGGGTGGGGGCAGCGATCTGTTGTTCATCAAGCCCTCCAGCTGATTCTGATGCAGCTTAAAATTTGAGAACCATTTTGAGTTTTAGAATCTCCAGATCGGTTCCCCCATTTGACTGTGAGCAGCCTAAAGACAAGGGCACGGTCAGTTTCTTCCTTGTAATTTCCCAGCCCTCCCTCATAAGACCCAGCACAAAAAAATGTTCAGAGAAAAACTGAGTTTTACCAGTGAGAATACCAAGGACAGAGAAGGGATGCAAGGTCACAGGGAGAGTCAGTGACTAAACCTCCCCCATCACATACACAAAGTACTCTAAGCTTTGTCTACAGCTAATAACTTGCAGTTCCTGGGACACACGAAGCTGCCTCTCCCTGCTTTTTGAACAGGTTGTGCTCTGAGTGTAATGTCTTCTGACCTTGTCTTTCCTGGAAACTGAATCATCTTTGATGATTCAGCTCAAACATCGCTTCTTCCCTAAAGCTGCATGAAAGGCCACCATTGGGTCTGCTGGCCATTTTTGTACCTTGCCTCCATATGAGCCCCTTGAGGGCAGGGCCTGTATCTGATTTCCCCCTGTTTCTGGAAACCTACACAGGCCCTGGCACAGAAAAGATACCATTGAGTGTACAATGAGCAGACAAAGGTGCTGAGTTTAGAGTGCTGAAAATAAGGCCGGGTGCGGTGGCTCACGCCTATAATCTTAGCACTCTGGGAGGCCGAGGCAGGTGGATCAACTGAGTTCGAGACCAGCGTAAGCCAGAGCGAGATCTTGACTCTAAAATAGCCAGGCACTGTGGCGGGTGCCTGTAGTCCCAGCTACTTGGGAGGCTGAGGCAAGAGAATCGCTTAAGCCCAAGAGTTTGAGGTTTCTGGGAGGTGTGATGCTGTGGCACTCTACCAAAGGCTACAAAGTAAGACTCATCTCAAAAAAAAAAAAGAAAGAAAGAAAAGAAGGAGTGCTGAAACTAAAAGACCATTCACATAGGCCAGGCACAGTGGCTCTACCTGTAGATTACTGCCTGTAGTCCCAGCTCTGGGAGTTTGAGGCTGGCAGATTGCCTGAGCTCAGGAGTTGGAAACCAACCTGAGCAAAGCGAGACTCCGTCTCTACTAAAAATAGAAAAACTAGCTGGGAGTTGCAGTGGGCACCTATAGTCCCAGCTACTCAGTAGGCTGGGAGGCAAGAGGATCTCTTGAGCCCAAGAGTTTAAGGTTGTTGTGAGCTATGATGCTACAGCACTCTACCCAGGGCTACTAAGACTCTGTCTCAAAAAAATAAAAATATGGCTGGGTGCCTGTGGCTCAAGCAGCTAAGGGGCCAGCCACATACACCTGAGCTGGTGGGTTTGAACCCATCCCGGGCCCACCAAACAACAATGACAACTACAACCAAAAAATAGCCAGGCGTTGTGGCGGGCACCTCTGGTTCCAGCTACTTGGGAGTCAGAGGCAGGAGAATCGCTTGAGCCCAAGAGTTGGAGGTTGCTGTGAGCTGTGATGCCACAGCACTCTACCCAGGGTGACAGCTTGAAACGCTGTCTCAAAAAAATAAAGAAAGAAAGAAAGAAAGAAAGACACCCCACACACACACATACACAAATAATGTAAGACCAGAACCAGTCTCTTGACTTCCATCTAGGATACTTCTGTGTGTGGCTCACCCTGTCTTGCCATCCCATCATGTGCCCTTTGCTGGTTCCAGCACAGATATCTAAGAGTGACCATTTCACTGTTGCCAAAGCCAGCAGCAGGTCATGTCACTGTATGAAATGTCAAGAGCTGCTCTGGGTAGCTTCCGAGTCTCCATGGTTCTTGCCTCGCACACACAGGCAAAACCTAAAGTGGCTGCCAAAGTTAGGTGAGCTGGGCGGCAATTAGTGCCCTGCCCTAAGATTCCTCTGTAATCAACTTAATAATAATAATAAAAAATGCTAACATACAGTAAGAGCTAACACATAGCTCTGCTTTCTGTTTGCCAATGCTATTCTAAGTACTAGCATGGACTAAATAATTTAATCCTTCCCCAAACCCTATGAGGTAGGTACTACTATTATCCCTGACTACACTGATGAAGAGGATACAGTGGCTAACTTGCAAGTAAGTGACAGGGATGGGATTTTAATCAAGTATTTGGCTCCAGATTTCCTGCTTTTAATTGTTACTGGACAAAGAGGGTCTGGGTGGCTGTCGCTGTCAGGCAAATGCCTGGCCCGGGATTAGGTCCAATAAGGTTTATTGTCAGAGAGCCAGCAATCCAGGGAACAGCAAGAGTAATCTCTCCAATCTGTTCTGCCCTTTCATTTCCAAAATCACAGTTTTATACATAAATGTTCAAAGCAAAAACCATATTAACCCTTATCTTAAACTACAATAAACAACAATCAACATAACCCATGACCGATTGCAACACCTTCCAATTCAAAAGTTGATCTCCTAAATCAATTGTCCTAAACTACTCCAGATATACATCTTTATGGTTGGAGCTCGATTTACAAAACAACAAGAATGGAAAATACAAGGTGAAGGTCACGTAGAACCTAAACCAACGGGACCGCTGTGCTGTGTAAGCCCTAGCCTGACTGACTCCATCTTATTTTCACTACCTGCCCTCTCATTAATGACGATGTTATACTGAAAAACATCCATCTGTAATTTTAAAAGTCTTTTAGCACTTTTATATTTATGAACAGAGTTTAAATCCATCACCTCCTTGAACACTTGCTATAATCCAGCGAGGAAACTAAAGGCTCAGAGAGACTAAGGGACTTCATCACGCCCTTGGGGACCAAGTCCACCCTCTGGAGCCATTCTTTCATCTCCCTGAGAGATTGAATGATGGCTGAGCCCTGTGCACACTAGACTCCCTCTCATTTTGTTCGTTGGTATGGGGCTCACTCCAGCGTGGGGCAGAGCTGCTGGAGAGGCAGGGATCATCCTTCTCCAGGTGCTACTCATCTTCCCAGGGGCTCCTAAATACACCTACTTTGGCACAGGGAAACGAGGTCAGAGTTCTCTGACTCCCCATTGGCTGAAGGGCTCTTCTGATTGCTTCTACCTGATCGCATGGACTTGTTACTGGTGATTTTTCTCTAATGTCTAACTTTGGTCTACACAGGCAGGCAGAGCAGTGAAATGGCCCACAACAGAACGTGGGTACCTTTCTTGGGAAAGTCCTCATTTATCCCCTGAGGCTCCCAAGTCCCTTCAAGCATTCCACCCTCACTTTTCACTGAAAAGAGACTCCAGACGGGGATGATTCAGAGACATTTATTGGATATTTATGGGGCTGGTCCACGTGGGTCAGAGTTAGGGATGGGGGCTTCCTGAGGGCTGCCTGGAATGTCACCGATGGTCACTGTGGCTATGAAACAGTGGTGGAAGAGGCGTCTGGAGTCTGCAGCCTGTGGAGCATTGCTGTCCATCCGAGGCTTAAGGAAGGGGTAACTCTCCCTGAGAGGGTTCACTCCTGGCACCTCTGCAGCAACACCCAGGTTCCCACCTTGGCAGTCAGGGGGCAATTCCTCGGGGCCTGGAAAAGCAAGCTGAGAGTGAGAGTGTAGGGCTTTATCCTGCAGCTCCTCATCCCACTCCCAGGATCCTCCGTCCAGGCTAACTTCTCTAAGTGCTTACCCTGGGCAAATACATTGTGCTTAGTCTTTTTTTTTTTTTTTTTTT